ACTTAGCTTTGGATGTTTCGGGAGCGAATCTGCTCCCGTTTTCAACATGAAAATGGTTATATAAGAGAGCTTGAAAGAAAAATTCACCAGCTTGTCAGTGACAATTTGTATTGAAAAAGGTTTGATGATCAAATTTTCACGTTGCTCTGGACGTTTCGGGACCGAATCTGCTCCCGTTTTCAACATAAAAAATGGTTATATAACCGGTCCCGAAACGTCCAAAATTTGATATTTTCCTATATACCTTCATTTCTCTTCTCCAAACCTTTTTCAATACAATTTGTCACTGACGAGCTGGTGAATTTTACTTTTTTTTACTTTAAGGCTCTCTGATTTGAAAATTTTGGGGCAAATCATCTGATTTGTCCTTATATACTACACGTATATTGAAATAATATTCATATTTTCATTTTATAGAAACGAGGAGAGAAAATCCCAAAAAATCTGGAATTATGAAGGAAGGAATACTCGAATTCATCTGTCCAAGAGTCTAAAAGTGGATACGAAGAATCTTAAAACGCATTATATTATAGAGACCCTCGAAACCTCTAAATGTCTGGAACCCTCGAAACCTCTAAATGTCTGGAACCCTCTCACATCGATTATTCATGTTAATAAATGGACACTATGTGAGGCGGGTGGCAAGGTTTGCTCCGGTAGTGTAATAAATCCTCGAGATAGAGTAAACTGTGCGAACAAACATTGCCATTTATAGCTGCAAAGTGCATGCATTACGAAGGCTTCACATTATCCTATGTGTGTACCCTACAAGTGATTTTCAACCTTCGAGATATATTGTATATTCTTTTAACTGTGCTTCGAGAGTGTATCGACAAAAAAATAGGAAATACTTTTAGTAGGTAGGTATATTCAATATTTTTCAGAAGAACCTCGAAGTAAAAATGAAATACATACTATGTGACATAACTTAATCGTAATTGAAACTTCATCTCCAAAGTTACAGAATATCACAGTTTAGTATGAGTCATATTCCGAGTATTTTCATTTTATCCAATAAATACAATTCAGGACGTTATTGGATATTTTCCAGTCAAATTCATCCAGTAGCATTATCAAGGGTAGTAGATTATGTTCCTGTGCCCATTTGAGGTTGAATATAATTTTTACCGCATTTTTGTTAATTTAAGAACATGTGCTTTTGGATGATAGTTCCTTCTGGCATAGTTGAGGACTTCGACCAATAAGAATCTAGGATCCAGCTGTCCTTGTACCGAGGTCAATGGGGAATATAAATACTGAAGACAGCTAAGGGATCACTCTCTTCTCTACTCTACTCTACACTACCTGCTCTATGTTCTAGACTCTGTGTCTCTCCTGGTTCTCTTGCTGATCTCCTAGTGCTCTCATATTTCATTCAAAACCAGTGTAAAGTAATGATGTATAGTGATTTCCTGTTGCACATGTGAGTTTGTATGATATTTTTCACCATTATTATTCATCCTGTTTATAGATTCATTTCATTCCTGTTGTTTTTCATACCCATACTCACTCGTCCTGTGTAACGAATCCAGAAAGTTGTATTTGCGAATAAACGGTTTTTCTGATTGCATATTCAATATTTCTTTCTCTGTTGTCAGTGTTTTCAGTTCCGAATAGTTCCAATAATTCATTTAATGATTTTCAATATTTTCATTTGTCAAATTGCTGATTATTATTATTGACTGACGGCTGACACTGACAAGCCAGTTGTCAATTCTTCTTCTTATCTTTTCCTCGAACGTTCCAGTCCTGTGCACCGGTGTCCCGTCAGGCGGTGGTCTAGGGTTCATGAAATTTTGACATGAATGGAAAAATATAATTAAACTCACTAAAATTCCGATATGAGAAAATAATAGAATCGAAGTAAAAGGAAAGATAAATATGAATTGAATCTGTTTAATTCGTTTGGAACGGTGTTTCCGATTCTCCAGGTAGACTAAATGAAATAGGGTGAATAAATAATTTTCCAGACCTAACCTAAAAATACCAGAGACACGAGCGATATTTTGCTTCGATTCCTGTAATTATCCAGACTAAAAATAGCAACCAGTATGCCAGGCTAAACCCAGGGTTTGTAATTGAAGCCCACACTCCCTTGGCTCCATATTGATTCCAGGTCGATTCAATAACATTGACCCCTGGTCTATACTGTAGGTACCGAGGTAGGTATACCTCCTGTACATTTCTCCACTGTTGCTTCTGTGGGCTCTGTACAAACATATTTTGTGCAGAGCAGGTAGAGTAAACTACCTCGAAAACAATCTGGCGCTCGTCCCCCCCTCCGTCAAATAAATACCAGAGTAGTCTCCGTCCTGAACAGAGCGCCAAAGTAGGGGCCACAGAAATAAAGCCATATTCCAAAACATCAAATTTCATTTTAGCTACGCAATCGAGACTTATATCATCTATTTCCTCAAGTCTAGAAGATGTAGGGCAGATGGCATGAACTTGTTCGTTTAAGGAAGCTGGATTCAAATGCAGATCGAGATGGCTGTATCTGCATCCAAGAGTTACTTCAGAGATGACGATAGGACCATAAATCTAACAATATATAGGTACTCTACTATAGATCCGCCATTACCTTATTACTGTCCTCCACGGAGCATTGAGTGTCACATTAAAAAGAGAAAGGGCCTTCGGTATGGCTGCAAGTGCCAAAAACACCAGTCATCAGCTGGTACCTTAGCATTACTTTTCGCTCCGTTGTCCAATCCATTGGTTGGTTCTCTACAACTTTATTGACATAGATCGTCAAAAAATATATATAAGAAATAATTTAAAGACAAATCCTCAATCATTTCGGGAAATTGTGTGTATTTGAAAGAAACCTATAGGTATATATAGGTACTTCAAAAATATATGCCCTTTCTTCATGTTGTTTTTATGCACCGACTGACTCATCTGATTTATTCTCTCAGAAGAATATGCCACAATACAAGCCTAGCTTAGGTGGCTTCATCTGAAATTGATTTGTCTATGGAATTTATGTGTATTTTTCCACCACTAGCTATAGAACGTGTGTATTTACTAACAAGGTCGTTTTTGTACTTTCATGAACATGGTTCTTTTCATTTCTTCATAAAATTGCCACTGTTTGGGATTATTCGCCGATCTCTCATTGTGGTCTTTTGTTTCTTCATACTTGGAAAGCAGACTCTTCATTTTATTACAACATTGTTCTGCTGTAAAATTGATCTCATGATCTTGCATTTCCTTTGCATTTTTTTATAGATTTCTATTTTCTTTTCACGAGGATTCCGAAAGCGATTTGAATTCCTTTTGCAAAGGTTTATAAAAAGTAGGGTTTGTGTTTTGTTCCAAACATATGATCTCACATTTTTTGAGAGGTTTTCATTCAAGGAATCATGGAATACTTGTGACTGATTCTCTTGCTCTTCGACAGCTGATCCTGAAAGGTGCTTTTCTGGAGGCATCGACTAATTTAACGGCTTGATATTCGCCACCTTAAATTATCTTCTTCAAATATGAACATAAACACTATTCTGAACTCACTTTGAGGATTCAGCCATAAAATTTCCCCGGATGCTATTTGTATTAATTGCTCCATTGCCCTCATGTTAATATAAATTATTTTTTTCTATTATTCAGATTATATATTTTTTTGTTTGCAATGAAAATATCCTCAAACATCAATATTTTGAAAAATTATGACAATTACTGGCAATGGTCATTCCGATCATTCTGTTTAATTTGATGGATTGAAAAGTATAGCAACCGGAATGGAGTTGAGTTTGCAATCAAACAACAGGAATGATGAAACCGGTAACGGTTTGATACCAAACAAACGCAACTATAAGATAACTTTATGAAATATCTATATCGTCATGTTGAGTCATAGTTCAACCAGCACTCTCCCAGTAATCTTCGATCAATGGAAAATTTTTATTGATTCCATAATGCTGTCATAATAATGCGATCTTGATTCACATAAATTTATATGGCAAATATGATGTACCAGTACGATAAAAGTGCAACCTATTATATGACAGAAACAGTAATGAATGAGTACTTTTTTGTCTCCGCCAAATAGTACCAGCAATATGTTATCTTACATATCAATGAGCCATTGAATTGCCATCTATCTCGTGTTTGATAGGAGATTAGGTAGCTGAAATTATCTGCCCATCTAACACCCTGAACTATATTTATACAATTAGAAAATTTATTTTATACATAGGACTATTCGAGATCCTCATTCAATATTCCAAAGAGAATATAAACTCAGGCTGATTCCAGAAATGTATGACAGGTATGAATGTCCGGTGTTACTTGATCAAAATTCAAAAACCACACAATCATATCGACCTGATCGACATTGGAGGTTTCTGGAAAGATTCGAATCTTTCCAGAGATCTCCTCTATCGATCATTAACGCAGTTAACGCAGAATAAATTCATCCATTATAATGCATAGCGCATTTCTTTCCTGATCCTTCAGCATTTTCAAATTAAGATTTTCATGGGGATGCGGAGGGTTGGATAACAATAGGGCGAACGAAGGGTGCAAAGTGTCATCGACCCCGTCCTTTATTTTTTTTATTCACCCAGAAAAAAAAAACAGCCTCGGTTTATATCGACAACTTCGACTAGCCTATGTGTTTCACTCGGATGCATTTCTATCTCAGATCTTTCCGAATCCACCTGTTATATACGCATATCGAACGAAAACACCGTCGCGACGTATATAGCGCCACCAAGCGACGCCTTGTCGAAACCTCAAGGTAGGGAGTCAACCCCCAACATTACAACGTGCTAGTTAGCGTGGCATTGATGCAATGTGTACGTCTCTTGCTTTGAAAAATATACGTCATTTCTCAGTTTGATAAATATCAACAGAGCTGTGAATGTGTCAAACACATCTATAGACATAAGGGAGCTTGGTGCGCATTCGTGAGATGTCGCGTAAGTGTGGAAAAGCACACTAATTGTCATGTTTACCGATGAAAATGTCGCACTCGGGTGATAGATAGCGATAACAAGATGCAGGAGGAAAACAGCGGGGCCGAGAGACCGAAAATTGCACCGAAGCCTGTAATCCCATCAAAGCCCAGGTTTGTACCTCCTGTGAAACTAGAGAAAAGAATTATACAAGATGAAAACACGTCCACTGGCAATATTCCACGTTACCCCAATATCAGCGACACCAGACTGCATAAGGAATATCCCAAGCCCCGGGATTTTAGACAAATACCCCGAAACGATAAACATTTCGGGTATAAGGAAGTATACACTTCAGAGAAGAGTAATTACTTCAGTGAAACTAAACAAATAGCTAGTGAAAGTTCCAAATACAGAGAGTATTCATCGACGTACATAGATGAGAAATGTGATAAATTTAGTACTAACTTAGATACTTTGAAAATACTAGAAGGATTTTCCCCAAAGGCACCTCAATCTCCCAGCACAGTGTGTTGTAGTATACTATCCAATGCAACAACAGATTGTTGTGGTGTTATTAACGTTAACAAAAAGGAATTGCCTGGTAAGGCTATAACGAAAATCGATTCTTTGGACTCGAATTCCTCGGATTCTGGAGGCTTCAAAGACTTTGTACAGCTAGATATATTTAAGAAACCATCACCAGATAAAGATGTAAAATACGAACTCCACCAGACTCACCATCAGAGGAAGGCCTCCCAGTCCGACTTTGTCTTGAAAACTGCATCATCAGACAACAATCCACCTATTCACCAACGCCAATTATCCCATTCGGAATTCTCATCCAGCGAAGTAAGGCAGTCTCTTTCGCACAAACAGAACGTTGCAAATGCACAGGCCTTGGCGCAATTCTTGCCGCAGACTGAACAAAAGTTACTGCAACACAAGCAGTCGAAAGAACGCAATCACGAAGAATTTTTGCAACACGTGGCGAGGTTTAGCGAAATTCCAGCGCAACCTTCGGAAGATCCGAAATTCAAACCACCGAAGCCGGTTTTGAAGCACAGCCAGTTCCAACAGTCAACAAAGAAGCTGGAGGAACTGCTAGCACAGAGGTTGGAGAAAGATAAGGTTCTGAAGAAGGGTCAGAGCTGCTTGGTGGAAGGAGAGAGTAGCCAGGATGTTGAGCATAAGGTGATGATCCAGAAGCAGCTGCAACAGAAGTTGCAGGCTGATTTGCAGCAGACTGTTAAGCAGATTCAGGAGATTCAGAGTATCGAGCTGAGGCTGCCTCAGAATCGGAAATGGACCGAGGTTTGTGTTGTGTTAGTATGGAATGTACCATGGTGAAGAGTTGTTTCAGTAACATTAATTCTCAATTTCTCTAAAACTAGAAATATTCCAATACATCAGCTGAACATTTCCTGATTGAAAATCGACATCATATACAGCGTGAGCGATTTCTACTCGCAACACCCTCCTAATTTGTAATCCATGGACTGATTTTTCAAAACAAAATTTTGATAATACAGTGTGTCCCAAAATTGTTGGGACACAGAGCTACCACGTGTAATACAGTTCGAAATGAGTTGATTGGACCCAACTTATGTATATGAAAAAATTTACAGTTTGTCCGTGAGACGTGTTCAAAGTTTACATAAAAAACATATTTTTATGCGCTCTTCAAAAATGACTGAAACAATTTGGATGAAATTTGACAAAAGTGCATTTCAGAGGATAACCCATCTGTCAGTAATCAAAGAAACCTGAATGATATTGTAGGAGGATTCAGACCACCCCCACCCCCTGAATTTTTTTCTGAACATCCTTAGTGGTGGTAATAGGGTTCTCAATTTTTTTGAGCGAGATGATTGATTAATTATCTTCATTTTGTTACTTTTGCGAACATTTCGTATTCCCAGTCAGAGTTTGATAAAATTGTAATACAAAATTATTTGGCAGTGGAAACAAACAATATGACATTTTTGTATTGAACTTTTTCTAGGAATATCTATTAGCATTATTCAAGAAAACATTTTTTGCCTTCAGAAATATGCATAATATGAAGTTTTCACGAGGATTACAAAATGAAGATAATTAATCAGCCATCTCGCTCAGAAAATTTGAGAACCGTATTATCACCCCTAAGGATGTTCTGAAAAACTTTCAGAGGGTGAGGGTGGTTTCAACTCTTCCACAATTTCTTCTGGGTTTATTTGATCACCAAAAGAAGGAGAATCCTCTGAAATGTCTTATTGTCAAATTTCATCCAAGTCGTTTCACTCATTTTTTAACAGTGTACAAAAATGTGTTTTCTGATGTAAACTTTGAAATGGCCAACTGGCCTCATAGACTAACGGTACATTTCTTTATATGAATAAATTGAGTCATTATTTTGAATTGTATTACATGTGAATGCTCTGTGTCTCAGCAGTTTTGGGACACCCTGTATAATACTCTACGAGCTCTTTTCGAAAATATAGAAAAATCTGAAATATTAAAAATTTCAAGGCCTACTACTGTTTGAAGAATGGATCAGAACTATTATTAGGCAATTTTTTTCGAAACAGTGGATGGGCATAGCTAATATACCCCCATACAAAATTTGAAGGTGATACCTCATACGGGGTGTTACTTTATCAATGTCAATTATTAAATTTCAAAATTCTCGTTCTTTAGATTCGCCCTGTGATAAAATCTAAGGAGTTGATATCACTGGTTAAAGAGTAATTCAACGAAGAAACACATTGATTATTCAGATTCGAAGTTTCATCGTTATACATTCTACAGAAAGATGCATCTAGAACAACCAAAAATCAATGGAAAGAAAGTTCAGGTTCACCATTTTGAATATTCAAGAAAAGCGTTTATCACTCACTTCACCAAATAATTCTTTGAAAATCGTCTCCAATGACCAAAAGCTGTTAAATATATAACATATAGCATGACAAACACACTCCAAAGACTGCAAAAAGATAGATATGCTTGATGTGATCATAATAGTATGTCTAATTTGACGAAATGAAAAAAATGAAAATTTCAGATGACTACGAAAATTGTTATAATATGGAGAATATTTCCTCGAAGTTTTTGGAAAAAAAATGTATCCTAATAAAAACAATGTATCTGTCAACTTCCATCACTGAGAAGTGTCAATAGACATAAATTAAGACAATTTGCAAATAATTGATCTGATTCAAAGTTAATTGAAAATCTTATATGTTTCAATGTCTTAACAGGGGCGGATCTATATAAGTGCTGTATGGGCTGCAGCCCAGGGCCCCGTGGGTAAAAGGGCACACAGTCTCCATTGACGACAATAAACAAAAATTTGGATAAAAATATCTTAAATGTTTATACTTCTTATTTAACATAACTCATAACCTCTTAATTCATTTTGCAAAAATGACTTCCAGTTGTTGTTTGTGGTGTAGGTCATATTTATTATCCTCTTTGCCTCGTATTTTGAGCTCAACACTCTGAACGTAAGATCAAGTTTTTTTCAATTTCCTTACAGTTTCTGAAGGTTAACATAATGTTAACATTATCAATAGTTGGGTGCTATAGTTGTTGAGCCTCATTGTCGTCCTCCATAAATTAATTTGTTCCAGTTTGGTGGTTGGGGCCCCTTAAAAAACCCTTTTATTTTTTTCAATACTTTTCAAAATGTAACATAACATTTTCATTTTCATGATTTCCCTTAAAAGACCCTTCTATTTTTTTCAATACTTTTCAAAATGTAACATAACCTTTTTATTTTCATGACTTCTCAGCATAGGCTGAAGATGGACATTGCATGTGTCCGAAAATGTTCCTAATTTGATGTTTTCAATTTAAACAGTCGTGGAGATGACTTTGTGCTTTTCTCATTGAATAAGAACCCTATCACTTCCACTAGGAACTACAATGGACTTCTACGTTTAATATCATTTTAGAAGAAATTACGTTTTGTGGGGAATACCATCTTATTTGTCTTTGTCACAAAAATAATGAAATAGATCTAATAAATATTTTTCAATCGACGACAGGAAATCCCAATAATTTATAGAAGTGAAAATTCCTCCTTTTTGAAATCCCAATTCATGACGCGAGCATGCATAATAATGGGTCGTCCCAATTCAACTTGTGATAAATTGTACTTCAAATCAAAAGCTATTTCAGCAAAGAGTCAACTGAAATCGCAAATACAATGTGTTGAAGTTGATAATATTAATATACCGATATTACACCGGTAGAGCAGGCACATTCAAATGGATAATGCGAGTTGTGAATTCAAAAGCTTTTTAGCCTTAATATTGTTCTGTATCTGTATTTGGCACTGTTGCGTTCAATTCAACAGTGCTGCTCCTAAAGTGGCGTATAGAGTCAGTAACAAGGCATAGAGGAATAATGATGAGCAAAAAAACCCTGAGAGAACTGATGGACGTTTCCTGAAAAGGGTGTCAGGTAGCTCTCACTCACATCACTCATGACGAATTGCAAAAAAGGCTTCAAGAAATAATTTAGGTAAATGGGTATAATGAGTTCAATTATTATACACTCACCAGCAAAAAAAAAGGTCACCTTGAAATTTTTTAAAAAAGTTGCCCTAAACAGTGTAATAAGAGATAGACAAAATCTTTTTGGGGATATGGAACTATAACGCGAGGTCTATACAAATCAAAATTATTTTGATCCCACAGGATATTTTTTGAGCGCGGGACTACATGAATTTGGATTTTTTTTAATAGGATACCCTGTATTTTATTACATTTTTATATCTTCCCTGAAGATCTGATTTCATATCAATATAATATCACACTTGGGGTCTAGCGGAAATGTAGGGTGTTGAAAATCGAGAATTTTCAACTTTAGGATTTACTTGCCGAAACTATTTATCATAGGTCAAAACGGCTTTCATGTCCCTATCTTGAATTTTGATTTACTATCTACCGACATTCAATTTGATAATAAACGGTTCACGAAATGTTTAACCATCAGATTCTTCTTTAACCTTGTATTTCTTTAAGAAGATAATCAATCTCAGTTTACTAATATCACATAAGAGTAATGAATGTTTTAATCATTTCAGAGCAACAGGAGTCAACCTGCCATTGGATTGAAGCACACACCAAAATCCAGGGTAAGACCATTATTCCGTTATTTTTTATTAGATCATGACGTTGAGTAGTGAAGATCAAAGCTGAACAACATAATCATACTCGCATATTATGAATAATGTATATAGCAAACTTCGTAATTTGTGCAAGTAGAAATCAGAAGCCTAGCGAAATTTGAAATTTAACTGTTAAGTTGAGACTTTCACAGAATTTAAAAATATGATATCTTATTCATGTTGAATAGGTATTCAAGTACGACGTATGTCTTCTGTCTTCCAATTCAACAAATTCCATGAAGTTGTACGTTCTATGAATGTTTCACAAAAATTTACAAAACAAATCGAGCAGTGATAATTCACACAAACTCATCGGGAAGTTTCTCAAAATGAGGTTATTATTCTTCCTAAAAGTGCGAGAATATTATACAGGGTGTCCCGAAATTAGCCTGCCAAACTTCAACAGCGGCTTTTACTACCAAAAATAAAAAGAAAACTTTCAATGAACATGGGACGGGAAATGTTTCCTAAGGAAGCTATGGCCCCCCGAAAGGGGGCTCCTGAAGATGATATTTCTTGAATATTTCCGAAACTCCATGTAATAAACAGATGCAATTTGGTACAAAAACTCAAATTTCCATGCCGAATGCAGTGAAAATCAAATTATTCCAAAATTTCAATCAGGAGTGTATAATACAGGGTGGGACTACATTAAATATTGCTCAAAATTCTTTGTATGCATATTTTTCGACAATTCAATTTCTGATTATCAAATTTCACACCTATTTACAGAAAAAAAGGACTCTTGTTCCGTGAGTAAAAGCAATTTAAAAATATTGTTACATCTCAGATATCATGCCTAACATTGCAATGAAGCGTAGTGAAAATGGAAAAAAAAGCACAAAAATTGAAGTAGTCGTTTCATCATTATTTTTCTAGTTTTCGCGCTTTCATGAGATTGTTTGGTGAAAAGAAAGTACTTGATTTTTTGAAGCCACTATGATTTGAAAATTGGCAACGTTATGCATAAGATGTGAGTGCATCAATATTTTTAAATCGATTTCTCTCGAAGATGAAACATCTGATCGATGCGGAAGCATCTTTTTTTGTGAAATGGTGTGAATTTTCATAATCCGAAATTAATTTGTCACAAAATATTCATGCGAAAAAGTTCGAGCAATATTTTACGACGACGTATTACCGCCACAATAACCTATTAATTTTTTCATCAGAATCTCAAAATTTTGAGATTTTATCTTAAAATTTTGAGATTTTTTCTCAAAATTTTGAGATTTTTTCTCAAAATTTTGAGATTTTTTTCTCGAACTTGTTACCTACATGATAACAACATTGTGTATGTTTGCATTCAGTTATAAAGTGGTTGTGCTTTGCGAAAGTTCCTCACCTCACCTAGTAGACCTATTTATGTGTTAAATGGAGAACACTAATATATACCAATGAACTAATAAAGAGATATTTCTTCCTTGGTTTGAATTACCATGAAATATTACAATGTTTGCAGTTAGTACATAACAACGACATCAGCAGAAGAACATTACAAAGACGATTGAAATCCTTGGGATTGTATAGAAGGAAATTTTATACGAATGATCATGAGCTTCTTTCTTTCCTCAATAAAGAAATTGACGTTTCTGGACAATTACATCCATCACTTTCATCAGCTTTTGCTGTGAATATCTTATGGATATCCATAAGAAATCTACTGAAGGATATCCATTTCAAATCCTTCAATGGATAACTCATGGATGTCCATTTCAAATCCAGTAGGAAAACGAAGAATCAGTTCTATTTCCAAAAGGTTCAATTCATGTTCGGACACAGAAAAGAGAAATTGACACTATGAAAAACAATCTTGCGGATTGAACTCATTCGTGATTGCTGTGAATATCTCATAGATACCCATAAGATATCCATTTCAAATCCTTCGATGGATATCTCATGGATGTCCATTTCAAATCCATGCAGTAGGAAAACGAAGAATCAGATCTAGGACCGCTCTCGTTTTCTTTGTTGTTTCAATTTATATAGTGCACCTATATCATGCACTTCACACTTCTGATATCTACCTACTTTCAACTCTATAATTGACAATGCAGTATTGTAACTGAATACACGCATCCATAATGTGGAAAAAATCTCAAAATTTTGAGAAAAGATCTCAAAATTTTGAGATTCTGATAAAAAAATTAATAGGTTATTGTGGCGCTAATACGCCGTCGTAATATTTAATGTAGTCCCACCATGTATTATACACTCGTGAATGAAACTTTGAAATTATTTTATGTTCACCGCATTGGGCATGGTAAGTTCAGTTCTTGTACCGAATTGCATAATTTTATCTTGTGGCGTTTCGGAAATATTCAAGAAATATCATCTTCAGAAGCCCCCTTTCAGGGGGCCGTAGCTCCCTTAGGAGACATTTCTTGACTTATGTTCACTGGAACTTCTTTCTCTTTTTGGTCGAAGAAGCCGCTGGCGAAGTTTGGCAGGCTAATTTCGGGACACCCTGTATAATGAATAGCCTGGATTTTTCGTTTCATTTTCAGTCAGTGTTGTGTATTTTGTGTGTGCGAGAACGCGTTATCATAATATTGCGTCAGATTCCCCAATTATCATTTTCTACATTTTGGAATGTAATTAGTTGTTGGATATGGTAAATTTTAACATTCCATATTCATGATCCTACGTTTTGAATGTCCCAAGACAATATTATTGTTATATTTTCCTCTCTTTGTGCAGGAGCTGCAGCCATAATATTTCTTACAGTCAGCGATTTGATCGAATTTTTTTCTGAAATGTAGAGGGGGAAATGGTGTAATTTGGAGCAGAGCGGCGTCCATTTTTTTATGAAATCAAGGACTACTAGATCAAATTCAAATGCTGAAAAATCCAGAATCCTCATTAGCGATTGTTTAGAAAAAAAGCTGCATACACCACTGGAATTGGCGTCTTCTCAAATAGTTTTTCAAAGACCTACATCATTTTGGACAGTGCGGTGCGATTTTATTTAGATGATTATGGGTCAATTTCATATGAAATGATATTAGGACTTTTTTACAGGAAAACTGACTTGATTATATTGTTCTCATTGGTTTCAAACCCCCAATGTGGATTTTTATATTTCTATGAACGGTTTAAAAAAACAATCACATTTGAACAATATTTTTGCGAATATAACAATTATATACTCGTAAACATAAAATGGTATGTCTTGTTTTTTCTTTCCAATCACGATTTTTTACCTACCGGAGCTATTGAAAGTTCCAAAATTTTGAGTTAATTTGAATTCACTATATTTTTCCGAGGCTGAAAATGAGAAAAATGAAGCCAGTCCAATTCATTTTGAATTAGGTGATTTTTGCAAAATATATAGAGGCTCCAAAGCATGAGAAACATTAATACCAAGTTAGTTTTCTTGCAAAAAAAATCCTTATATGATTTCATAAAAATCTCCCCTTTTTATTTCAATAAGAAAGCACGGCATTGTCCAACAGGATGTTTGTCTCTGAAAAACTGATCAAATTGATGGGTATTCATACCAGTCCCAATTTGGTTTACGCAGATTTCTTCTCAAAACTTCGCTTATATGCATTCTGGATTTTTCAGCCTCCAAATTTGATTAGTAGGCTTCGGTTTAAAAAAAATCGACGCTGTTTAGCTCCAAAATACACCTCCCCCCCCCCTGCATTAAAAAAACGTAAAAATCGCTCCATAAATATGCTTTCAAATGGGTCACTTTGTATATAAAACGTCACCTGTTAACAACATGTCTTCATCTACATCTTCAAAATCATCTTTTGCATCAAATGTGGTATAATCTACTTGAAACCATATTTTCAAGGGTTAGACATTTCGTACCTATTGTGGGTTCATTTAGAATTTTCAAAGAAGTTCGGTTGCTAGGTAATAGTACTAGTGCCATTATTGGAATTCAATGTATCCCCAGTGATATAGATACAGATATATGTCCGAACGTACTATAGGAATTATATACCTTTGAGAATTAATCGGATTGTCTCGTTTCATGTTCCATGTTTATCCAATGAGAATCCAGTTTGCAGTGTTGCCAACGATTGATCTGAAGTTAACAGGATGTCAAGATGAAATAATCTTAATTCGTATTCACGCTTATAAAGCCGCTACACTAAATGAAATAGATCGAAATATAATGGGGGAGACCACTGATTTTTAAAGCGACATCATCGTGAGCTCTATATCAAAAAATTACCAATAAATATTATTTTGAATTTTTTCATATGCAGGGTGCCCGTTTTTTGAGCTCCACCATCATCCACCATGGGGATCTTGGTTATTATAAGAGATACGAGGTCAGTTAAATTAGGGCAAAGTTGTGCATTTTCATGGTGAACAATTATCTGCAAGAAAATTTGATGATGTGTCGTTTTTAGTTTTTGAATTATTGGAAGCAAACGTTTTTATTTTTCCAGCAAAAACTGAATGACCTAGACGTTTCTGACTGAGACATTCTCAAGGCACTTTTTTACAGGGAATTTAAATCTATCATCGTATTTTCCATGTCGTTATTCTTGATGCCAAAGTTACAATACCCAACTCTGTTGCTTATGGGCGCCATTGGAATCTTGCATTTTTGAAAACTCGTTTTTCCTGATTACCTGTTCATAAAAATTGGGAAAAAAGTATTTTTGCGAAGTGTGCTTCAGAAAAAACGAAAACGATTTTGTTTAATACTGTCTGTAGGTTAATCGAGGAGGTGGTACATTCATTATTCTAAATTTTTTGGGATTTTCTCTCCTCGTTTCTATAAAATGAAAATATGAATATTATTTCAATATACGTGTAGTAAGGACAAATCAGATGATTTGCCCCAAAATGTCACTGCGTTTAAAGAATTTTCCTATCAGAGAGCCTAAAAGAAAAATTCACTAGCTTGTCAGTGACAATTTGTATTGAAAAAATTTTTGGAGAAGGGAAATAAAGGTATATAGAAAAAATATCAAATTTTCACTTATCTTTGGACGTTTCGGGACCGGTTCTGCTCCCGTTTTCAACATGAGAAGAGATTATTTCAATAGCGAAGTCGTATAATGTCTTGAAGCTTTTCAGTTTTCGATGACAATTGGTGACGTTGGCAATCAAATGAGTTACAGGATGTTTTCATTAATTGATCTTGAATTTACCATTTTCATGTTCAGATTTTAGTAGTGAATACCATGTTCTGTCTATATCAACTGAACAAGAAGCAATGCTATTGTCTCTGCTTGCATTCTTCTGAACGGAGACAATAGCATTGCTTCTTGTTCAGTTGATATAGACAGAACATGGTATTCACTACTAAAATCTGAACATGAAAATGGTAAATTCAAGATCAATTAATGAAAACATCCTGTAACTCATTTGATTGCAAACGTCACCAATTGTCATTGAAAACTGAAAAGCTTCAAGACATTATACGACTTCGCTATTGAAATAATCTCTTCTCATGTTGAAAACGGGAGCAGAACCGGTCCCGAAACGTCCAAAGATAAGTGAAAATTTGATATTTTTTCTATATACCTTTATTTCCCTTCTCCAAAAATTTTTTTAATACAAATTGTCACTGACAAGCTAGTGAATTTTTCTTTTAGGCTCTCTGATAGGAAAATTCTTTAAACGCAGTGACATTTTGGGGCAAATCATCTGATTTGTCCTTACTACACGTATATTGAAATAATATTCATATTTTTATTTTATAGAAACGAGGAGAGAAAATCCCAAAAAATTTAGAATAACGATTTTGTTTGTTATTTTAATTGAATTTGGATCTGGAACATTTTCGTCAAGCTCATACCTACTTAAAAACTATGGTTTTGAATTAGGAACGACGTAATGAGCTAGAAGTGTATTCTTCGCAAAAAAAACAAAGTTATAAAAGATGCTCCAATACTCCAGCTTCCAATTCTAAACAAAATTTTACGAGTTTCCTCAGATTCTGAATTGCTCGCGAGACGTCTTCTTAGGCACTCTTCGCAAAAATGATTTTTTCCCAATTATGATCAGCAATCAAAAATGCAAAAATCCAATATGGCACCCATTAGAAAAACCAAAGTTGAGTGTTGTAACTTTAGTATCAAGAACGCCATGGAAAATACAATGACAGATTCAAATTTCTTGTGCAAAAGTGACCTTAGAATGTCCCAGTCAGAGAAGTCCGAAAAATAAAAACAAAAATTACAAATAATCCGTTTTCTTCCAATAATTCAAAAACTAAAAATGACACATCAAATTTTCTTGTAGATAATTCTTCATCAGGGAAATGCGCAACTTTGTCCTAATTTAACCGACCTCGTATCTCTTATAATAACCGAGATCTCTATGGTGGAGCTCGAAAAACGGGCACGTCGTTGTATACTTGGACGATGAAAAAAAAAATTAAAATATCATCATATCATGGCAATTTATTGGTGTGACTGGTGTGACGTATTAGTCCCAGCACGCCTGTTGTCTTCGAGCTGACCAATCACACTACAAGACTGCAGAATAGCAAGGTATCAGAGAGAGATAGCTGAAGTTCGGGACTAATACGTCGCGGCCTCACCTCCATATCTTCTGGCTTTTTGAAATATCGAATGAAATATGCTGATTTCAAATCGCTATAGATTCGATTCCCTTCAACTTCAACTTATAATATTGATTTTACATCAAATGTGAATCATGATTCATCGATTGAAGGGGGTTTCAACGGATTTCATCCCTCAGTGGTCATCCCCATTTAGTTATTCGATGACGTCCACTTTGTGGATCTGAGATACACTGAGCTACTAGTGAGTTCTAGTTATTTCATCGAGCTATTGCTGTTATGACCGACATTAACTTGTACTTACTTGTTAGTGTCTTATTATTTCGGGAAGGAAAAAAATGAAGGTATGTATATTTCTGAAAAAACTGCCACATCAACAATATCAAAAGGTATTTTCGAGCAGATATTGTCATCTCTCCTTTTGTACGTTTTCGGGAGATCTACTCAACCTCTAATAATCACAGCATACTCTTGGGAATCTTGGGTCAGTAGTAAGTATCTATTGTTGGTCACCAACATGTTCGTTGTGGAAAAGATGAGATGCATACTCTATAAGTTCAGAAAGCTCAAGGAAAACTTACCGTTAGGTTAAATGAAAATTCTTTATTATGCTCTGGTTGAAAGTCATGTCACACAAAGATCTTTCCTTTATTTTGGACCGAAACTATTCAATACTATTCCAGCTGATATTAAAATAATCCGCAATAAAAGTAAATTTAAATGTGAAATAAAAAACTCATTTTCAACAATGCCCTACAATTCGATATTTTCTGATAAATCATCTAAAACATCTATTCATACTTATCGTTCCCCTCATTAATCATTAATCAGTAATTTCAATATTTTAATTATCTGCCTATATACTGTTCTCTGTTTCAAATTTCAAAATTGTTATTGAGATTGATATTGACATTTCAATGTAACTACCTACCTCTATTCCTTTTTTGTACTCATACTCCAAAATTCTTTATTTTGTTATTTAATTTTATTGTCTAAAATGGACAAGGACACAACAGGCACCCGTGCCTAGGTCGTCCCTTTTAGACAAAACTTTACTTTAAAAAAAATGTGAACCAATTATATACTATGAACTGTACAATGCCAATCGTAGAAATATATTTGATTTGATATTTGATAATTACAATACCAGAAGAAAAAATCATTACGTTCCACCTCTGATGGTCAAACCAACAACACAGAGAATGTTTATCTACTTAGCTCCCAAGTTGTTCAATAGCATTCCTGATAAATTGAAATGTATAGACAACAAGAAAATTTTCAAAAAACAATTGAGAGAGTTCATAAACGAATATCCACGACACATGATGCGATCCCTCTTTGATATTGAAATAAAATGGAAAAATCATGCCTAAATTACATTGTCCTGCCTTCCACAGTACTTCAATGATCAATACAACATACCTACACATTTCAATATATATTCATGGTGTGGGTGTCTGCGTGTATTTAGTATTATGTTCATTTATTTGTTTGTGATTATATATTAATTCTTTAATCCTTTTGAAATTAGAAATGTATCGCTTTTAAAATATTCATTGTATCGTTTTTGTATGTATTTTATATTTAACTGTATATTTTCATTATCCCAATTTCTTTTTATTACTTTTCTCGAAACAAGTGTTCAGTCACTTATCGATTAAATTATTTATTTACATCTGGGTATATCATCATACGATGTATGATTGTGATTATGTGATTAAATGTAAATAAATATTGTTATTATCATTATTATGAGTCACCAGTACCACCGCCTACTCTCTTGCTAAATTTTCTACTCTAAAATCATATAACCATGAGGAAATTCAGAAAGAATATTGAACTTGGCAACATTGCGCACAGCGTCCCTTCTCATTCAATGGCGGCTTGCGCGGCGCAACTTCACACAAATGACTCATTCCGTCAGTTTCAGAGAGCTTGCCGGCTAGATTGTATGTTGTTTGATTCACTCTCGCAGTGTTTGTAAACAACAGATGTAAGCAAAACGTGTTTCATCAAAACGGACAAACGAATTTGATCAATATGTTGCCGGTATAAGATTGATTCCAGCTATATCTGGGTTGCTGTGACTTGTTTTGTTTCTTGTTTGATCGTGTCCAGTAAATAATTTCCTATCTTTTGTGTCCCATGTGTGATCACTTTTGTTTTGTGTTTTGTTGTTTCTCACTCCTGTGAGTACTGTGATTCAAGAAACCCGCATAACAGGTAATGTTTCCTTAACCTCTATCTAATTTTTATATCTAATGTAAGCATGCGAGAAGTAAAAGTCACGACGTGGTATCGATAATCATTTATTTGGCCTATGATTTTGATGGCTGGCCAATATTCTCTTCTAGTTGTTCAATGTTGTTCAATGTGTGATTGCAGCATTGTGGAAGAGTGGAAGATAACATTGAATACCTCTCTCATAGTGGAAACCTGTTTCAAGTCCTTAATCTAATGCCAATGTTTACTCCTCTCTCCGATAAGTAGGTTGTGAATAGCTATGTACCTACCTATACAATCTGTGCCTATACCTATAATACCTATATACTTACCTGTACATACCTACCTTCAGTTAGGAAGTACCAATATGGTATGATGGTTATACCGACAGGTAGAACCATTATGGGAGAAATGTGTTTACCTACCTGCTATGGCGGTAACTCTTGAAAATCAACTTATTGAAAATGAATACTATACCGTTCTCGACCGTACCTATTCGGTATTTGCTTGCGGTTAGTTCTGTCATTAGCATCTACTGTGTTTTACCAAGAATTAACGCTGGATTTGCTTTGACACCATCAGGTATCATGTCACTGCCATCGAATTAATTACAATTGGATTAGCGGTTGAATTCAACATTATACCTATCATTATTGAGGTTATCGTGCAACCCAATCAATAGATTTACTCTCGGATTTACTCTATGAAATACATGAACACAATGTTATTATTGCTAGTCTATCAACTTGAATCGAGACTTGAATGCTATAAAAAACAATGATGGTGACAGAATGAATCAGATGTGCATTGCTATGCTTTCAATGAATACCTAAGGACTTATGAAATACAATTTCCATTGTTTGAAGAAGAATGAGATGCCTAGAAACCTCGTAGAAAACGTCTACAAAACAATTTCATAATCAATCAACGAATGAAATGTGAAAATATCCTTCTAAATGCCAAAGCACCCAAAGGACTGACTAGAAGACTGATCAATTCAAGAAAATAGATGGAAATATAGAGGAAGATAATAAGGGAACAAACCTTGCTGACCACTCCGAATTATAGGTAGGTTATGTGAAAAATCCTGTTATCACTAAATAAATCCTCCATCTTTTATGGTCTTTCATTGATTGAATCCTCGATCGAATCTTGAGTTGAATCAAGTTGAAGCAGATTTGTATTTTTCACGCAGATGATGTCATTTGAAATTCGAAAACAAGGCTGAAACCGTTCTCAATACTAGGATTTCTATAAGGGAAGATTTCGAATTCATCATAATTGTTATCGTCATTACCAACGAAATCCAACATATTTGATTTTCTCATAATGTTGCTGATAAACTGGAAAACCAATATATCACCCTCGTTATCATCTTCATCAGGTATTTTCTCTGAGAGAGTTCAATGGTTCATTAATTAGTTTCAAATAGGTACTTTAATCCAAGATTTCAATTTTTATCTATTATGTCTCTTAACTTTCGATATTTTCATTAATAATGTCCCCATGGAATCAACCTCAAATAGTTATGAGAAATCACAGATCATTCTCCTAATGAAAACACTCCAGCTATATTGTCTCGATACCTGGAGATAGCGAATTTGAATCCAGATACCAGGAATGGCAGGAATCGACCAAATTTTTGGTTCAACCTGCCTAAACATTGCTACAACTTGGAAAAGTGGGTCTGGCAGGATGTCTCGCAGTATTTGCATACCAAAGTGAAGTTCCCTTCGATCTATTGGAGTAGACTCTGATATTTTTCATACGCTTAAAAAAAGGGAAAAACATCGCAAGCCCAGTTGTAAACGCTTGTCATTTAGTTGGACCTCATCTCTAATTGAATTAGGTACCATGAATCGCCGTGAATATTTGTGAAATGAAGGCACAGTGTTATTCCTTCCGTTCCTTCGCCAGAAATGTGGTACATATCTCAGTCGGGTCGGCAATTGGAGTTAAATCAATAAATTAGTGTCGAAAGTTGTTAAAATGAGTTGCCTAACAAGTTGTTAATTTACGAAGCCGACACACTTGTGACCCATAATGTCTGTTTTGGTTCCATATAGGGACAAATGCAGACATAACAAAGTTGAAACGTCAAAAACGTGTTCAGTAACTCAAACAAAACTTCGAACAAAACTGAACGACATATTTAATGATATAGATATATGCGAGAAAATATTCTTTTAAGAAGTTGAGTGACTATCTATGTCGATCTACTAGCTCGACTAGATCACTAGATAGATTGAGAACGTCATATCTTGAATAAAAAAGAAGAAGCAAAACTCTTGGCAAAACTGACTGAAAGCCTCACTAATGAATTGCTGAACGAAGAAAACGAAGATTGGGGAGTTTTTCCTCAATGGCTTGGACAAAATTTTTGAAGGGTCCCAAAAGATGATCAATAACAAAGACTACGAAAGATAAATTGAAAGACAAGTCCTTCGTTAATTTTTCTGAGAAATCTCGTCGCCTGCTGGATTCTGACGATCACCGCTCATCGGCGCCTTTAAAATCGCCTTCATAGGCTGTCAACCGAGCACAGAAGTGCGATGCAAAAATCGCAATGTTGGGGCATAGCGACAAAGGATTACATCAAGTGAACCATCTTATAGAATTCAGTAATCTTTGTCAATAATCAATTTTTTATAACACTTAACCAGACTTAACCAGATTTCATGCTGACCTAATCTCCTTTATCATTTTTGACCTCGCATAAGAATATACCACATACTATGTGTAATGAATAAATCAGTTCTATAAATAGTACTATACACTAAATTCAACCTTTCAATAGAAATGCCGCAAACCTCAGATTGTTTATGTAAGTAGAATATTAAAATGTCATCTATAATTAAATTTATCAATATTGAGGGTGTCACTGATAAATGCCTTTTATGTGGTTGATTATCGTTAGTATCATGTGTGTCGTTTCAAACCAATGGCGCCCCTTTTGATGATGGAGGAAAACCGAGGAAAACACCCGCTGAGAAGAAACATATTGTTACAAGTATTGCCATGACCATTTATTTACTTTGGGTAAATACCGAGGTGAGTACCCTCGTGAGTACCTATATATATGGGCTTAAATAATAGGTACACTAGGTACCTACTCTACTACCTATTCTTTCTTTTGGTTGGCAACGAGTGGCACACTTTCTTCCAAATTTTTCATTTCAATATACGCCATAACATGGTTCCTAATCCACAAGAAAAATGTCATTGTGCGAATGCAATCACTAAGCAGAAGCTTTATGAATATTGATGAAAATGTACCTTTATTTCAATTTTGTTACGCTACTGCTGCCACTCACTCCCCTATATGAATGTCAAAAGAAATGAAGTGGAAATATGAAGCTTGTTAGAGTTCAGAGAAGGGTAGTAAGAGGTGTAAAAGCATTCACTCTCGTTATGAGGTAGTTAGGCTATAGTTGAATATGTAGGGTTCGTTTTTTCCATTCCAACGGAATTTAGCATCAAGCGACGGTGTTACGACTCATTTGATGTAATGTGGAAAGAATTTTCAGATGATTAAGTAGGAAACTAGGGGAAGAATATAACTCGGAAAATAAAAATTGACGCTCATTCGCATATGTATAACGTGTAGGTATTTTTATTTTTGTTAGAAAATATCTTGGTTCCGTTCCGATCTTCAGTTCGATTATACGTTATCCTAAGAAATCAGAAAATACAATTTTCTGAGCATTCATCCTTGTTTTTCCTAGTCTTGATCTGAAAGGTTTTTCTTTTATGCCTGAGATATTTATTGAAAATATGAGCTCGAATTCAAGCTCAAATTAATACTTAGGAACATGTTTTCTACTCACGAAGATAATTTTATTTTCTATTATTTTTTGGTACTATGTGGCGAGGTAGGTATCTAGTATCTGGGTATCTTATTTATTTGTTCTCTTTTCACATATTATTGGAAGTCAGGTTAATCCGGCATACCTTGCCGCATACTCAATTGTTGAAAGAGCAAAGATAGTTTTATAAAATGGCAATTGATTCCGTTTTGAAACGTCCTGAAACTACATTTTATCACGTTCTTGCTATTCACCTCATTCTTCAAAGCAGCTACAAGAAGAGAGAACGAGAGAAAGAAACCTCAACGACCAGCTATTGACCAAAGCAACATTACGATAATCGTTCTAAAAAATAGTGGCAATGTCGCTCACAACAAACCTACATAACATAGCAGATCTGGCTCCTTTTTGGACTCTTATAATTCTCCATACTTGTTCGTATATATAAAAATTTCGGAATTCTAATAAATATAACATCGAGCATAATATATTATCGTTTATATAATTAAATATCAATCTTAATGTATGTACGTACCTGTGATAATATAAAATCAAGATTAGTGAATGAAACGAATTATGCGTTGGAATGAATTTCGAATCTCGTTGATATAGTTTATCGAGTAGTTTAGTGACGTTACCAGTATTCTTGATCACGCATAAAACAATCGCAAATTCCAGGTATTATCAGGGATCTTAACTTGAGGTGCATTTATTCTGAAATATTCTGTATCAGTCTCGGTATCAGTTTTAAGGCAGATTGTTGACCTACCTCATGCACCTATCGATAGACCAATTCATGTACCTATTATGTACTTACTGCTTCCTTGATCTGTACTGGAAATATTCATTAGATTCCTATGGTTTTCTCAAATATGGGTGTTAGTGAATAAATCACTTCGACCTTATATATGTGCCTAGAGTCTTTATAATCTGGAGCACTCCATCCAGTCCTATTTCTCGTAGGACAATGGGTGGATGATCAAGGAGGGGAAAGTTTTTTTTCCGTGATTTGGTTCCTTTCCAGATTTGCGGACAAAAACCTCATCAGAGGCCATTCTGGGAGTGTTCTCTCCCCAATAGTAGAGTCTGTGTGAATGTGTATCTATATGTTTCCCATATTGAATCTGCAGTGAACCGAGAAGAACCCCTTCAACATCCATAGCAACAAATGCAAGCTATTGTTCGTTTTCGATA